ACGTCACAAAACATATATTAAATTATTATTTTTTACTTTCTTATGCTTGGGGAATGGATTTTAGCTACGTTTTTGTTATTTTTTGCGACGTATTTTTTTCGTCGCGAATAAATTTTTTTTGAGACAAAAAAAATTTTGTAAAATATTTTTTGCGACGAAAAAAAACGTTGCAAAAAATAATTGGCGACGATTTTTTTAATTTAGCGACAAAAAAATTGTCGCAAAAAACGATTTTTGTTGTAGTGTTCCTACAAAGACACATGATTGATTATAAATAAATATATTCACCTATAATTGATGAAATTACATTTTGATATTTTATTAGTCTAGCAATCTCAGAAGGACTAGATATACGTCTTATGGACATTGTTACTGCGCATTTGTATGAAAAATTAAATATTTATATTTATATGAAAGTTGTTGAAGGATTGCAATTGTCTAAAGCAAACACATTAAAACTACAAAACATGTACTCAATTAAGCCGAGACAATCTTTGTATGTATTGAAACAATCCAGAAAAATGTTGTATAATTGTCTTAGTGAGTATTTGGTAAAAGAAATGTATGTTAACAATCTTATATGCCCATGCATATTTATTAAAAATTCAGAATTTGAATTTGTCATCATTGTAGTATATGTTGATGATATGAATCTAATTGAAACTTCTAAAGAGTCGACAAAAAATGCTGAATATTTGAGAAAGAAATTTGAGATTAAAGATATCTCTCGACCTGCAGATCGAGCATACATCAAACAGAATTTTTATCCATCAAACAACCTATACCAAAAAATCATAAAATGGTTTAATATGGATAAAATATATCCGTTGAGTACTCAAATGATCGTCCAAACCCTCAATATCAACAAGGATATCCACTTCGTCCTAAAGAACATAATGAAATGATTTTTTGTCTTGAAGTACTATACCTAAGTGTAATATGTGCTCTATTATATTTAGCATAATGTATTAAGCATGATATAACTTTTGTGGTCAACTTGCTGGCAAGATTTAGTTCTGTACCAACTCAACAACATTGAAATGACATAAAACATTTCTTACGCTACATTCATGGAACTATAGATTTTGGTTCGTTATACTTAAAGCAATTAGTCAATGATCCACATTTAGTCGGATATGCAGATTTTGGATATCTATCGGACCCTCACAAGGCTCATTCACAAACTAAGTATATATTTACATGTGAGGACACAATGATCTACCAAACAGACTTTGATTGCTACATCCATCACTCATTCTGAGATACTTGTACTCTATGGAGTGAGTCATGAATATGTGTGGCAAAGGTTTATTGTCCATCATATCCGAGATACTTTTAAACTACCTCTGATTATATACTCACCAACAATGTTAAATGAAAATAACTTTGCTTGCATTGCACAAATCAAATGAAGCTTTATCAAATGCGATAGAGCCAAACATATTTCGCCAAAAAATATTTTATACTCATGAAGTCCAATAGTGTCGTGAAATTGAAGTAAAGCACGTATGGTTTAGTGATAATCTTGTACATCTATTTATTAAAGTTTTACCATCATCAACGTTTAAGAAATTGATATATGACATCAGAATGAGTTGGATTTGTGACCAACCTAGTTGATTTCTTATTAGAGAAGAATTCTATCAAGAACAGTATCCACGTCAAGATATATAAAAATATGCACGACATACTCTTTTTCTTTTGTTTAGGCTTTGTTCAATTTGGTTTTTTGAACTAAGTTTTAATGAGACAGTATTAGTGTGTCTAATGCTATTCTAAAATTCATTTGAATATGTATTTTTTTTCCTTCTTTGAGTTTTTTTCCTCACAGGGTTTTCTTAACAAAATATTAAATGAGATATATTATCTTAATATAGTGGTGATCCAAGAAAGAGTGTTTTAAATATTACAATTATATTGTATATATTGTAATAAAGTGAATGATCCCTAATCTACCAATTACTACACCAAGTAAATATGGATTATTAGGTATTAATACATTAGTCTATAATCTCTATCCATTAATATATCAATTTTAATATTATATTCGATCATCATTATATTTGAGAGCCTATAAAAAGAGGGTGTTAGTATATTACAAAATATATAAGTTGAGAAGAACACACACACACACATATATATTATTTTGTATTTTTGTAGTTCTATATATATTAGCTATTTTTTATCCTTGAAGGCACAGAGTAATAAAAAATTGTCAACAATAAACATATTTATATTCACACTTAAAATCAAATCACAAACATAAATGAAAGATAAAAAAATTTAAGTACCGATTTGTAATGGGGATGGAGCGGTATTAGTGGTGGTGGGAGGTAGTGATGATGGTGGGAGATGATGATGGTTATGGTAGGTGGCGACAACCATGGTAATGGTGGTAGCCGTGAGTGACAATGATGATGGTGGTGGTGAATTTTTTGGTGGTGATGATAGTAGTGACAACCGTGGATGACGACAGTGGTGGTGGTGGGTGTGGGAGGTGATGGATGACGATAATGGTGGTTAGTAGTGGCAGTGGTGGGACGACGACAGTGATGGTGGGCAGTGACGATAGTGGTGGTGGGCGACCATGGGTGTTTTTAGGCGACAGTGTAATAGGTGGTGGCAAATGACAGCAATGGTAAGTGTGGTAGGAATAGGTGATAATGGGTGGCTACAGTGGTGGGCGATGACGGGTGGTGTTAGGTGTGGTGAGGGTGGGTGACAGTGGCTGGTGGCGATGGTGGGCGACGACAACTGGTGGCGGCTTGTGGTAATGGGTGACGATGGACAACAATGGTAGTGGTGGGTGCTGACGGTAGGCGACAATGGTAATAGGATGATGGTGATAAAGAAAATAAATATAAGAATAAGATAATGTTGATGATAAATGGTGGCTATGGGCGACAATGGTAATAATTAGTGGTGGGTGATGATGGTGGTGGCAATTGGGCAATGAAGGGTAGGGTGGGGGTGCAAGTGGGGGCAGTGGTGGTGGTGAGGGTGTAAGTAGGGCAATGGCGGTGGTGGTATTTGTAATGGTCGTGAGGGTGGTGGTGGTGAGGCAATAGTGGTAGTGGTAGTGGTAGTGGTAATGGAGATGGTGGTGGTGGGCCGATGAAGTAGGTGGTGGTGGTGGTAACGGTGGTAGTGGTGATGGTGGGGCGGTGTTGGTAATAGCAACGATAATGGTGGTGGTGGTGGAGCGATGGGTGTGGTAGGGTGGTGATAGTGGCGACGACGGCGATGGTGGCGATGAGTGTGGTAGGTGGCAATGGTGGTGGTGGAGTGATGAGGGTGATGGTGGTAGAGATAGTGGTAGAGCGATTTTAAACATTATTTGTTTTTTAAATAGTTACGATAAATAATTCTTAAAAATATTTTTAAAAAGTTATTCAAAACATACCTTTAGGAACCTATTTTTCTTATTAATTTTAGAGTGTTAATATTAGTCATTTAATTAATTTTAAAATAAAATTTAAAGTGATTTGAATTGCGAAAAATAAAAATTATTTTATTTATTTTTTAAATTTAAATTGTACTATTCTTTATTATATAGATATTTTAATTTTATGATCTATCTAATCTCAAATAATTTTAAGGGTTAATCTCATTTTACACCCCGAAAGATCGTTCGAATCTCAATTTGTAACCTCAAAGAGTAAAAATCTCAATTTGCACCCTCAAAGATAGAGATTTGCATCAATGTGCACCCCAAAGATCAAAAATCTCAATTTGCACCCTCAAAGATAGAAATTTGTATCAATGTGCACCCCCAAAGATCAAAAATCTCAATTTGCACCCTCAAAGATAGAATTTTATATCAATGTGCACCCCAAAATAAAAAATCTCAATTTGTACTCTCAAATATAGAAATTTGTATCATTATACACTTAAAACTAAATTGATAAATTATACCTAGATCTTCTCATGTTTGTCACTTAATCATTTAGACCTCTTTACATTTAGAATATTACTCCTACATCTCATAACATTTATGCACGTATAACATGTAACTTATTTTCATTGATATCTGTTAATATAACCGTTAAAAAATATAATTTTATTCTAATAAAAAAATATAATTTCATATTACCCTTATTTTATGGGTCCAATATACTCTAAAATTCAAAATCAAGCTTACCATTTGAATGTCTAATAAAATGTATATATTTATATAATATTTTTCATATTTTCCTTTATATAAATATCTACATTCTATTAGACATTCAAATGGTAAGCTTGATTTTGAACTTTAGAGTATATCGAATCTACAAAATAAAGAGTAATATGAAATTATTTTTTTATTAGGATAAAATCATATTTTTTAACGATTATATTAATAGATATCAACGAAAAGTGGTTATGTTTACACATGTATAAACGTCATGAGATGTAGGGGTAATATTCTAAATGTGAAGGGGTTCAAATGATTAAGTGACAAACACGAGGGGATTTAAGTATAATTTATCAATTTAATTTTAGGTGCACATTGATACAGATTTATATCTTTGAGGGTGCAAATTGAGATTTTTGATCTTTGGGGGTGTACATTGATACAAATTTCTATCTTTGAGGGTGAAAATTAAAATTTTTGATCTTTGGAGGTACAAATTGAGATTCGAACGATCTTTTAAGGTACAAAATGAGATTAACCCTAATTTTAAAATAATTTGGGAGATAGCGTCGAAGTCTATTTTACTCTTCGCCTAACCCAAAGTCCTTACCGTGAAAGAGGAACAGACCCAGTCACTCAGCTTTCCAGCTCTCTGTTCCCAGTCAAAGTCTCTCTCTGTCTCTTCCCCCAAAGTCCTTACCGTGAAAGAGGAACAGACCCAGTCACTCAGCTTTCCAGCTCTCTGTTCCCAGTCAAAGTCTCTCTCTGTCTCTTCCCCCCTCGTATCCTCAAACCCATCTCAATTAATAACTCCAAAACACCATCACGCTGCTACAAGACATACAGAGAGAAAAGAGAGACGCGCAGTAGAGAGATTAATAAAGAAATGAAACTCCCGTGTATGGTTTTATCACTCCTTTTTTTTTCCTTCACCAGTACCATTTTAGCAGCAGACATCCCCCTAGGGTCAACCATCTCTGCCTCAAACCCAAACCAATCTTGGTCTTCTCCAAACGGCACCTTCTCTCTCGGCTTTACCACTGATGGATCCACAAACACCTACTTCTTGGCCATCACCTACAACGGCTTTCCCATCTGGAAAGCCGGTGGTGATCCTGGTGGCGTCACCGACTCCACCGCCACCCTCCGCTTCCTACCCAGCGGCAACCTCCAGCTCCTCAACGGCTCCACGAACGCCCTCGTCTGGCAGTCAAACACCGCTGGCCTCGGCGTCTCCGCCGCCTCCCTCAATGACTCAGGTAACTTCGACCTCAAAAACGACACCGTTTCTGTTTGGTCCACATTCAACAATCCCACTGATACAATCCTCCCAGGCCAAAACTTCACTACAAACAACATTTTGCGATCTGGGTTGTACTCATTTCGGCTTCTTAGATCAGGAAATTTAACTCTTACATGGAATGATTCTATTGTTTATTACAATTCTGGGCTGAATTCATCTATGAATATAAACTTAACTTCACCAAGTTTAGGCCTTCAGCCAATTGGCATATTTTCTCTGTTTGATCCTTCTCTTCCGGGCCCGGTAATTATAGCTTATAGTAGTGATTATGTTGAGGGGACTGATATACTGAGGTTTGTGAAGTTGGATGGTGATGGAAATTTGAGGATTTATAGCTCTGCTAGGGGTAGTAGAACCGAGATTGTGAGATGGGCTGCTGTTAGTGATCAGTGTGAAGTATTTGGTTATTGTGGGGATTTGGGTATATGTAGTTACAACGATACGAATCCGGTTTGTGGGTGTCCTTCGGAGAATTTTGAACTGGTTGATCCGAAGGATAGTAGGAAGGGATGTAAGAGGAAAGTAGAGATTGAGGATTGTCCTGGGAGTGCAACAATGTTGCAATTGGATCATGCTATGTTCTTGACTTACCCTCCAGAGATAACCTCACAAGTTTTCTTTGTGGGTATTTCGGCATGTAGGTTGAATTGTCTTGTGAGTGGTTCTTGTATTGCTTCCACTTCATTAGCAGATGGGACGGGGTTGTGCTACTTAAAAGTGCCAGCTTTTGTTAGTGGCTATCAGTCTCCTTCGCTTCCTAGTACTTCATATCTTAAAGTTTGTGGTCCTGTGATACCAAATCCATCTACTTCTTTGGTGGGTATTGATAAGGACAATGGTTGGAGGTTGCATGCTGGGATTGTTGCTGTAGTGGTTGTGGGTAGTCTCTTGGGTTTGATTGTGTTGGAGGGTGGTTTATGGTTTTGGTGCTGCAGAAATAGCCCCAAATTTGGTGGATTGTCAGCTCAATACGCACTGCTTGAGTATGCCTCTGGTGCACCTGTTCAGTTCTCCTATCAGGAGCTCCAAAAAGCGACGAAGGGGTTTAAGGATAAGCTTGGAGAGGGAGGGTTTGGGGCTGTTTACAGAGGGGTTCTTGCTAATAAAACTGTTGCAGCAGTGAAGCAACTAGAGGGCATCGAGCAGGGGGAAAAACAGTTTAGGATGGAAGTCGCAACTATAAGTAGCACCCACCATTTGAATTTGGTGAGATTGATTGGGTTTTGTTCTGAAGGGCGTCACAGACTTCTGGTGTACGAGTTTATGAAAAATGGTTCTCTTGATAACTTCCTATTCACAACTGAAGAACAATCAGGTAAATTGCTGAATTGGGAATACCGATTCAACATTGCTCTGGGGACTGCGAGGGGGATCACATATCTTCACGAGGAGTGTCGAGACTGTATTGTGCACTGTGATATAAAGCCAGAGAACATTCTTTTGGATGAAAATTACAATGCCAAGGTCTCTGATTTTGGCCTTGCAAAACTAATCAACTCAAAGGACCATAGATACCGAACACTAACAAGTGTGAGGGGAACTAGAGGATACTTAGCACCAGAATGGCTCGCTAATCTTCCAATAACTTCCAAATCTGATGTGTACAGTTACGGGATGGTGTTGTTGGAGATTGTGAGTGGCAAAAGAAACTTTGAAGTCTCCGAAGAAACAAATCGGAAAAAGTTCTCGGTGTGGGCTTATGAGGAATTCGAGAAGGGTAATGTTGAGGCAATTGTGGATAAAAGACTTACTAGCCAGGAGGTGGATATGGACCAAGTGTTGAGGGTGATTCAAGTAAGTTTTTGGTGCATCCACGAGCAGCCTTCTCAAAGGCCTATGATGGGAAAAGTCGTGCAAATGTTAGAAGGGATTACTGAAATTGATAAGCCGCCAGGCCCAAAGGCCTTTACAGAAGGATCAGTTGGTGGGACTAGTGTAAACGCCAGCAGTGTCAGTGCTCTGTCCACCTTTGCAGCTTCAGCCCTTGCTCCCTCCTCTTCATCTTCTTTCCAAGCTGCCGGTGTTTCATCTATTGCTTCAGGAAAGAATTTGGAAAGGGCATCTTCGTCGCTTTTACAGTCGGAGTCAAATTGAATCTGGCTTGCAGATTTTCAATTGCCCATGGCGACTGCTTTTGGAGGTTTTTTGTTGAAACCACATCTGAAGGGACACTAAGGCAGGCTGGTAACCTTTCTGCATTCATAAACTACACTTGATTTTGATAGTTTATCTTGTCATTCTTGACTTCACCGGGTAGTATATTATTGTACATAGAGTGCCCTATAATGAGCAAAAAAATAAAATAAAATAGAGGGCCCTGTCATCATAATTTCACTCTGTGTGTGTGAGTCTGTTCATAAGGATTGCAACCAAGGTTGCTCGCATTTTAAGGTTGTTCGTATTTAGGTAGATACTCATAACCCTGAATGTAAGAAGAAGCAGAAGGAGAAGCATTGAAACTGTTCCATTCTCGTTTCTAGGTGATGGCATATACTTTATTGGCAACCTTCATTGGATAATTGCTGATCTAGACAGACAGTCCTGAATCAGTATATTCTTTTGATATCGAGAAAGAGTTATCTCAATTAGTCTCTTTCTCCTCCTCAGATTAGATCCAATGCAAGATTAATTTGGGATTATTGGGAAGCTGTTTATACGTATGCGATAACACTTCCTGATTCTGATCTTGTGATTTGAGTGATGAAACATGATTTTTCCAGGAGATTGTGCCCAGCTCGATACAACCAAGCTTTTGCTCGCTCAACGAATTCATGTATGTCCTGAACGCGAAATCACAACATAGGAATTCGGGCTCGGGCAATTTTTGGTGGCCGAGTTAACAATATGTTTTAAGGTGGATACACTTAACCGTAAGTTTTACTTTATTCTTTAATAGGTAAAAATAATATTATACATTTATATTTTTTATATATCATTATCTAATATTTAATGATTTGTTAAACATAAGAAGGCCAAAATTTAGTATGAATACTCTATGCAAATAAAAAATAACTAAATAGACGTTAATTATAATTCTTTACAATTAACTTTGGCGAGTTATATTTTAAAAACATTACATGATTACTTCATTATTCCTGTCATCCACAATGACATTGAGTGGGTGCAGTGTAATTTTACTCAACTTTGTCTTTTTTTTTTTATAAATTATGTGGGGATAAATTCACACAAAGAGTAACTACATCGACCTTATAAGGAAAGAGAGAACGGTGAGAAAGCCTTGAGTAACTTTCAAAACAAAAGAATACTTAGGTGAATAGATGGCCAGAAGTGGCCAAAGAAGTCGAAGATGAGTATGAAGAGTGAATAGGTTAGGATTTAATGCCTTACATGATATACGGAGTTATAGCAATAGGGAGGTATGTTTCAAAGAAATTCAAACTTTAGATTGACTGGTTCAACTTCATCACCAAATCCTACAAGTATGGGGTAGGGTTTGATTAAGAATCTTGGTCCATAGTGCTTTATCACCAATTTCTAGATGTTCAGACTAGTATTTAACTAGGACTCTAGGTCTTTGGTTGATCCTTCACAGAGTCGAACGCTTCTTGAAGGAGTAAGCACGCAATGAGTGATTGCAGTAGCTTTAAAGGAGCTGACCTATAGTGGATCCGAGTAGCAAGTATTAAATGGCAAGGCCCTCCCTCGTACTAGTGTCGACTAGCAATGGCCAGCCTAGCCAAAGGTCGATTGGCAGCGGCCTAGGCGTTTGCCGATTAGGGCAGATGCTAAAGTGAATGTCGGTCCTCCGAACTTGATTTGTTGATTTAATTTATTACAATTATTGAATTGATTGTGAGTTCTAAAAAATATTAGAGTCAATTATCAAATTTTTGTTTTTAAGTTAAAAAGGTTCACGTTAATTGAATGTTATAAATGATTAAATTAATAAATTAAGTTCAAATAATATATATTTTTTTTATTATTGATTCTAAGAGATTTGATAGGGTCCATATTTTTTTTTATTTAAAGTACCCAGTAAATTTGTTCTCCTCTCCATGATTGCCTAAAAAATAACTTAGTTTTATTTTTATAATAAATCATTAGAGTGGGTCCAATTAAAAATATTCAAAAAAATATAAAAATATACATAGATAATTTTTTATTGCCCCATGGCCTTACACTCCCTCCGCCTCTAGTCGGTTCCATCAACGCTGCTCTGGTACGCTAGATATGTGAAATAAAGAGGCATTACCTACTTTTTTCGCCCATTAATCGTGACAACGATATTGGGATGGTTCGATTGGATAGAGATGTAAATTATTCGTACAAATCAACTACCCTTCAATTCAAACCTCAATCTACAAGTTATTAGTCCGACAATTTTAATGCTAACACCAGACATGGCCTAAACATGCATACTGAAGTTGTTATCAAATTTCTATAAATCACGTCATTTTGAAAGCTCAATTGTGTTATTTTTAAGTTCATATTGAGAATTAATTAATCATACATCTCCAATTTGGCGTTGGGATATATTTCTTCAGTCTTTTCTCTGGATTTGGTTGTCACCTGAAACTTATCTCCATCTTGTAGACTCAAGCAGCCATTTTTTTTTTTAATTTTTGTTTTCAGTTTTTGCCAAAAGTAAAAAATAATTCAAATAAACAAAATAGATATGTATCTACCATTGAGTAGGGTGGTCTAATGGTAGTACCGGCCTTATTCCTCACTAAGAAGTTGAGAGTTCAAGTTCTGGAGTCTCCGCTAAGGTTCAATGGTTAGTCGTTATGTTAGCCTAGTTAGGTCTGATTCCGAAAAGTGTTTCAAACGTTATTAGGGACCTTATGATTCCATCGATGTGGGTTTAACGGGGTGGTGGTTGTATGTTCTTCTTTACCCCCCCCCCCCCCTCCCTCTTTTACAATAGCACAAAAAAAATAGATATGTATCTATCCATCTTCTTTGGTTTCTGCTTCGTCGTTGCGACACCGTTTTTCTTCCTACGCGAACCCAAAATTGGGTTTGCTTTGAAAGAGGCGGAGAAGAAATGCATATAATAACGGCTAGTGTAATGACAAGGAGAAGATGAGTAGTAAAGGCTAGTTTGCTGACAATGATGTTGACACAGGAGTAGTGAAAATGACACATATTGGTCCTCTCTGTTTGTGTGGCCTCGTTTACATGCGAGTTTTGATCGCGATGGAGACAGAAAAAATGGATCATTATTGTCTTGCTCACGGTTTATTGTGCTTTATTATTCTTAATAACTGGAATTTTAGTTAAGTGATAATAATGACTTCCAACGGTATGTATTTGGTTGTATGTGAAACAATGAGATGTGTTGGTATGTTTAATGACTCCAATTTATTATTGTGTGTCGTATTTGATGAGTTGATGGATGTATTGAGACAATTAATTTTGATTTATTTTTTATCGGGTAATTAATATTAAACTATTAAATATATCATAACTTGAAGAATTATCAAATATGTTTTTTGTTTTAGTTTTCATATCTTAAAACAAAAACTGAAGCGAAACAAATTTTCTGTTCTAACTTTTTACTACAAAAAAAAAATATACGTTTTTGATTTTATTATTTTTTTGAAAATAAAAATGTTACCAAATGCAATAGGTAAATAGATACTTAACCTTCATTTTCGGTATTCATAAATTATACCAAACCAGCCCCCAAAACACACAAGCTGTTACCACCAAAGGGAGGGATTAAGTGAGATATCAATTCCTTGTCTTCAAGTAGGATAGAAACCTATTCCAACAATCTGACCTAAAACAATCTGACCTCCGCATTTGAATTCCTAATAAGGGCAAGAGAGACTTGACTATTCTTATTAAAGGAAGAGAAGAGTAACTTAGCTATCAGAGCAGAAGGCTAGAAGGAATCCTTTACTTACCTCTAGGAAAGATCTCTTTACTTACAACTCTTGAACTTGAAGGTGGGCGGAAAATAGATATTCACTGACTTAGAGCCTGTCAAGTGGAGCTTTTCCTATGCAGCTTAGGTGGAAGGCAAAGAAGGCCTTCTTTCGAGGGGACGCGCTGCCTCAATGGCTCAATATAAAAGATGATGCCCTCTTTTTATTTGCCTGTTCTCTTTCTTACTAGTATTCCTAATTAGCATCCAACAGATCAATTCAATTTGTCAATGAAATGATATTAAACATGTTTCCCATCTTTTCTCGAGAAACAAGTGGACTATTTGTTCCACGGAGGATTCTTACTCCATTGCAGATTTTAACCTTCTTTTTTCAAGCAAGGTTGTTCGCATTTTAAGGTTGTTCGTATTTAGGTCGATACTTATAACCCTGAATGTAAAGTCGAAGTTGAATTTTATACACTGGGAAGAAGCAGATGGAGAAGCATTGAAACTGTTCCATTCTGGCCTCTAGGTGATGGCATATATTTTATTGGCAATCGTCATTGTCTAATTGCTGATCTAGACAATGCTGAATCAGTATATTCTTTTGATATCGAGAAAGAGTTATTTCAATTAGTCCCTTCTCCTCCTCAGATTAGATCCAATGCAAGATTAATTTTGGTTTATTGGGGGAGCTGTTTATGCGCATGCTATAACACTTCCTGATTCTGATCTTGTGATTTGAGTGATGAAACATTATTTTTCCAGGAGACTGTGCCCAGCTCGATACAACTTTTGAGGTGTTGATTCACGGCGCAAGCTTTCGCTCGCTCAACGAATTCATGAGAAAATCGATATGTGCTGAACGCGAAATCACAACATAGGAATTCGGCCATAGGCTCGGGCTCGACCAATCTTAGTGGCCGAGCTAATAATATATTTTAAGGTGAATACACTTAACTGTAAATTTTATTTTATTCTTTAATAGGTAAAAATAATATTATACATTTATATTTTTTATATATCGTATCTAATACTTAATGATACGTTAAACATAAGAAGGCCAAAATTTAGAATACATACTCTATGTAATTAAAAAATAACTAAATAGACGTTTGATGAGTCCGAATTTTATTGGGCCAACCCCAATAAAATAAATCGAGAAAGTCCAAAGGAAAGCTTAAATCGAAGCTAAGTCAACCCATCAGGAGGGAGTCCAAAGCACCAAAGAAACCAAGAGGCGTCAAGTATCCCCAAA